TTTTTGTTCACAAGAAGCTACTAGGAGCAAAGGGCATCGCTACTAGGAACAAGAAGCTACTAGGGGCTCCTGGCCGTACTACTAGGAGCAAGGGACGCTACTATAATCCATTCAGACTTTGTTCCTTTCGGAGTCTTAGGACGTCGCCTCCCAAGGACTTCTGGGGTGACATTGCCTTGGACCTGCCAAAGGAACAGCTGGAACGACCAGAGACTTGCAGGCAGCGGTGCAACGAATTCCACGCTTTGCAATACACCCTTTGCGTTCTCCGCACGAAAGCGCAGCTGCAAACTGTCAGATTGATTTATTCTATGCTTTGCCTCATGTCATTGATTTATGACACAATCCTGGTCAATTGTCCTGCAGCATTCCTTGTCTTGAGGTGCATCCACGACTGCAACTTCTGCCGTGAGCAACGTCAGCTGCTGAAAGAAGAGAAGCCCAGGTCTGGGGCAGCTGTGAAGGGAGGATTGCTATTTTTGGCATGTCTCCACAGCAACACGACGTTAAGTTGACCTTAGATGTGGTTTTGCTCTTCAATTGATCCTATTCTCTCACTATGGATAGTTATCTATATTGGGTTCAAATTTTTGATGAACTTGATTTATCACAGTATGGGCTGTCCTCAAAGCCAATTAAACATATGTTTGTGCGATCAAATAAAACAGATAATGGGTTCCCTGGTTCCCTGATAATGGGTTGCCTGGTCTTGAATTCATTCTGACTTTGGGTTCACTCAGAACTCATTTGACTGGAGATAGGGGGTCGTTCCTACTTGAAGAATCCGCCCGATAATTACTGGCATGTCATTCCGTCAGGCTTCCCACGTCACAGCGCAACTTGTTTGCATTGGATTCAATGAACCGCTCATAATCGATGTCGCACCAATCATATTTAAACAAACAATGGCGCGAAAAACAGCCTATCGCTTTCGATTCAGCATTTCCTTTACCCAATGTAGCCAAGTCTTCAACAAGTTCAACCTGTTTCAGAATTTATTGAAGCAAGGCCAAGACACATCTTCCGTGCATCAAAGCCAATCTCAGCGCATTTTGAAAGAATGTTTCTACATTGATTTCTTGCCAGCTTCCTAAGAAGACGCGAGTGGAAGAGCTTCAACTCTGCCAGACAAATCTCAATCTGAAATCACCACTCTGAGGCTCACCGTACTCGGCGCCGCCTCGGACCCGGCGGCACAGCCGCAGGACGGAGCGGGAAGAGAAAAGAGGAGAAAGAGAAAGAAAGGTGAGATCGAAAGGAAAGATAAATGCCATCGGACAGAGTTCGTGTCAGGAGTCAGCGAGACTTCTGGAAGCACCGAGAGAAGGGCTACAAAGCTGGAGACATCTCCTTGCAACGGAGGCAACTAGAAATGGCACAAACGGAGCTCTAGAGGCCATAGCTCTTAGGGCTTTCTGGTCTCTTAGGGGTAAAGGAAGTCGGTCGGCCAGATACGTTGAGATGCACATGCCGGCGCACGTGGTGCTGCACGACGATGTCCGCCGCAGCGATGCAGCCATCCGGGAGTTGCAGGAGCTTTTGATTGGTCTCTCGATTTGATGTGAATTGTTGTGGAGAGATGAGGAATTGTCAGGTTTGAGATGGATTTCAAGGCAGCGGGAGGATACTATTCGTGAAGACATCGGACAAGCCCTTTCACCTCTGAATCTTGGTCACTGAGGCCAAAAGCGCAAGAAGGAGGCGGCGGGGCACAGTGGGGCACAGTGCATGTGCATTTGATCAAAAAGGCAGAGTTCATTTTTTCAAGGCTTTTGTACATGAAGCACTTTTTGCCCAACGTCATAAGACTGAAATTGAGGAGGAGTCCTTCTATGATAATTGCTACTAGTAGCGTCCTTGCTACTAGTAATAATGCCCTTGTTACTAGTAGCGCTGCCCCTTGTTGCGAGTAGCTTCTTGTTCCGAGTAGAAATGCCAGGAGCTATCAGTAGCTTCTTGTTACCAGTAGCTTCTTGTTACCAGTGGCTTCTTGTTACTAGTAGCTTCTTGTTCCTAGTAGAAATGCCAGGAGCCATTAGTAGCTTCTTGATACTAGTAGTTTCTTGTTTCTAGTAGAAATGCCAGGAGCTATTGATAGCTTCTTGAACTAGTAGCTTTTTGTTGCTAGTAGAAGTGCAAGGAGCTATGAGTAGCGTCTTGTTACTAGTAGCTTCTTGTTCCTGGTATCAATGCCAGGAGCTATTGATAGCTTCTTGAGCTTCTTGTTACTAGTAGCTTTTTGTTGCTAGTAGAAGTGCCAGGAGCTATTGATAGCTTCTTGTTACTAGTAGCTTTTTGTTCCTAGTAGAAATGCGAGGAGCTATTAGTAGCGTCTTGACACTAGTAGTTTCTTGTTTCTAGTAGAAATGCCAGGAGCTATTGATAGCTTCTTGTTACTAGTAGCTTTTTGTTGCTAGTAGAAATGCCAGGAGCTATTAGTAGCGTCTTGTTACTGGTAGCTTCTTGTTCCTGGTATCAATGCCAGGGGCTAATAGTAGCGTCTTGTTACTAGTAGCTTCTTGTTTTCAGTATCAATGCCAGGAGCTATTAGTAGCGTCTTGTTACTAGTAGCTTCTTGTTCTTAGTATCAATGCCAGGAGCTATCAGTAGCGTCTTGTTACTAGTGGCTTCTTGTACTTTGTATCAATGCCAGGAGCTATTAGTAGCGTCTTGTTACGAGTAGCTTCTAGTTCTTAGTATCGATGCCAGGAGCTATTAGTAGCGTCTTGTTACTAGGATCTTCTTTTCTCAGTATCAATTCCAGGAGCTATTAGTAGCGCCTTGTTACTTGTAGCTTCTAGTTCTTAGTATCACTGCCAGGAGCTATTAGTAGCGTCTTGTTACTAGTAGCTTCTTGTTCTCAGTATCAATGCCAGGAGCTATTAGTAGCGTCTTGTTACTAGTAGCTTCTAGTTCTTAGTATCAATGCCAGGAGCTATTAGTATCGTCTTGTTACTAGTAGCTTCTTGTTCTTAGTATCAATTCCAGGAGAGCGTCTTGTTACTAGTAGCTTTTAGTTCTTAGTATCAATGCCAGGAGCTATTAGTAGCATCTTGTTACTAGTAGCTTCTTGTTCTTAGTATCAATGCCAGGAGCTATTAGTAGCGTCTTGTTACTAGTAGCTTCTTGTTCTTAGTATCAATGCCAGGAGCTCTCAGTAGCGTCTTGTTACTAGTGGCTTCTTGTTCTTAGTATCGATGCCAGGAGCTATTAGTAGCGTCTTGTTACTAGTAGCTTCTTGTCTCTAGTAGCTTCTTGTTCTTAGTATCTTGTCTCTAGTAGCTTCTTGTTCTTAGTATCAATGCCAGGAGCTATTAGTAGCGTCTTGTTACTAGTAGCTT